CTCGACGGGGATGGTGGGAAAATGTAGGCGTACGCGTAGAATCACCCTCTGAATGGCTTCCGGAGTCATTGCTTCAGGAGGACGAAACGGGGCCATGGATCGATGGCGTTGCTCTGAGAACAGAGCGTAGTATTCTCCAGATTTCACACGGCCAGCTCTACCCGCGCGCTGCGTGGCGCTGGCCTTGCTCACCCACGTTCGGTACAGCTTATTGACGGAGCTAAGCGCATCATATTCTGGGCTTCGTCGCTTCCCGCTGTCGATGACGTATTTGATGTCGGGAAACGTGAGAGAGGTCTCGGCGATGTCAGTAGCAATCAGGATGCGACGGCAGCCTTCCGGAACTGGATCAGTGGCTTCTGTTAGCCCTGAGGGAAACAGTGAGTGCAGTAGCACGATTTTGAACCTTTCAGGGTCATTGAAATCGATCGACGACCAGCGCCTGGTGCGCAACTCGTCCTCAACGTCTTTGATCTCCCGCCAGCCGGGCACAAACACTAGGACAGCGCCAGACTCGGTGTTGGCCATGAGGTGCGCAATGGTAGCAGCAATCAGGGGTGCGGACATGACCCAGTGGTTTTTGATGGAGTTGGCTTCACCCGGAATTTGCCAGTCGATCAGCGGTTGGTGCTTGGGGATTAGTGCACCGGGGACATGCGCTGCCTCGGTGTTGATCAGCTGCAAGGTTTGCCCAGAGCCGAGGATCTCCGCGACCTGTAAGCGAGGAAGCTGTTGGTCAAATTCCGTAATCAGGTCACTCAGGTACTTGTTCTTGATTTCAAACGTACCGCCGGGTACTTGTAGCGTAGCGGGATTAGCAAGGCTGCCGTCGGGGAGGCGTTGCTGATAGTACCGCTCAAAAAGATCGATGTCCAGGGTAGCCGTCATGAGAATGAGCCTGGGCACCGGCTTTCCCTGGCTCATATGGTATGCAAAGGCCATCCGAAGGGTAGCAAGTAGCCGCTCTGTGGGCTGGTCCCGCTCATGGACCTCGTCAACGATGATATGGGACACGCCATTGAGAACCTGCTCCAGACCAAGTTCGAGCTGGAGAACAAGAATCTCGGCGGTGCAATAAGTGATACTGCCGCCATAATGGCATTCCGCGCTCTCGCCGCCAACGTGATATCCGACAACCTCGCCCAACGCCTCGCCTCGCTCGTCGGCCACGTGCTGTGCCAGGCTGGCCGCTGCGATCCGCCGCGGCTGGGTGCAAATGATGTTGCACGAGGCTCCGCGTCCACGGCGAATGGCATCTTCTAGGATGATTTGGGGGATCTGCGTGCTCTTGCCGCTGCCCGTGGAGCCGGTAATTATGGAGATAGGATTCTCTTCAACCAGTGCCAGAATTTCATCCTGGAATCTGTTCACCGGGAGTGTTCTCCGACGGCCGGAGTTCTGCGCTGGTATATGCCGCAGGAGGAGTTCCTCGCTCCGGCTCTGCGCGCTCCGCTGCGTGGTATGCATGAATTCTCGCATATTGATGGCAAAGAGGATACTGTTTTCGTGTAGTGGCACGTCCACGCGCGGTTCGTCGTACCCGCCCAACTCTGTGACGTCCATGTGCAGCAAGTGTGAGGCTTCAAGCATCTCCACGGCATTCTGGAGGGAAACGCCTCCATCAGGAATGACGAGTTTAATAGGGGGGGCACGGATTGGAAGATTGCCGCCGTTGACTTGCAAGGCTGCTTCGAAGCGCTCAAGCAGGTCAGGATTCATCTGCGTCAGGGCGACTGCAGTGATGATCTCGGCGATACACTTCGCCTGCCCAAGCGTTGCAGAACCGACGTCGCAGTCGAGCGGGATTGAGAGCCGTTCTTTCCGCCATATAGGAGACACCCTCCAACGGGGCAACTTGCTCTCGAACTTCGCGTAGAGGCGCGTGGCTTTAAACTTGATGGTAACGCCGCCCTGCAGGGATTCCCAATAGCCGATAAGTTTGGCGGCATTGTGCAAGCCAACGGAGATCCCATCACTAAGTTGAAGTGCCGGAAGCCCGAGCCGCTGCCATCTCGCTTCGGCCTCGCGCTTAAACTTTATACATGCCAGCAATTCTGCATCATTCATCTCGCGGGCAGACGCTGTCGCGAGTATATCGTGCTCTGGGAGCGCAATCGTCCACGTAAACCCGACTCCGCTATTTCTAGCCCGGTAGTAGGAGACCTGTGGAAGCAGTCCGAACCTCGCGGCGTAATTGTACACGTGTAGTTTTGAAAATCTTTCCTGTAACGTAAGTTGGCCCAAGAGTTCGGGGCCTGCATGGACGCGGCTGTCGGAAAGCCTCAGGCGTGAGAGAAGATTGTGAGAGTGTAACTGGAGGATAAGATGCATCAAGGCTGCTGCTTGTGCATGCTCTTTTGACGCATCCTCCCCAATTGCTCGGAACTCTGTGTCTCCCCATTGCGCGACGAGCTTGTGGCGCCAGAGGGGGCCATGCGGCCGATGGACCTGCTCTTCTGTCGGCAAGAGGGCGATTTCGCGACTAAACCATTCGGCAATCTTCTGGGCATTTTCAACGTCCAGTGGCTTCTGGAATAATTCGCTCGGTAGGGCGGGGTAGCTCTCCCTTGCGGGGTAGTTTGGGGTTCGTGAATAGTGTCCGCGATTGCGCAGCGGCAGGTTGACCTCAGCTGTGGACGGTGGTGGCGGTGGGCGCCTCAGGCCTTCAACATGAGGGCTGTCTATTGTTTTCTCGGAGAGACGACGAATCGCGAAGAATGGCGGTGCGAGAGCTCTTTGCACAGTGCGTGCTCCTCCAAGCTTGCGACCGGCCCATACCGCGTACCTCCTGCAGGTCTGCTACGGCGGTTAGCTTGAGACGAAAAGCTTTAGGGAGTTTCATACAGCAGGTGAAGCCATTGTTCGGTGCCATGTTTGCATACGGTATTATGAAGCCTTCATCCAATCTGAGGCCTGTGGAGTGGAGGAAAAACGTTTGTAGGGTGTGGCAGGAAAAAGTTTATGGTTAACCCTACGAGTAGTAGTTTGTCGGGTCGTTCGATCGGGCTCGGCAAAGTGGCCGCCGCGCAAGCACGTGAACAGAGGGCTGGATGTTTAATGAATAGATGGCATTTTCATCAAGAAGGTCGACGACACTGAAGTTTTGCACCTTTCCTATGCGCAAGTTGCAGCTTGGCTGTTACTTTAATTTTTGCCTCGTCCGCCTGGATGCCTGGATTTGAGGCTCTGCGACCTTCGAGTACCGGAAGCACTGGCCAGGCCCTTGTTTGCACCCAGCGGGAATGACCTCAACGTCTCCACCTCCACCGCGAGAATGCCTCTTCTGTCGTCATCACGCTCACCCCCCGAAAAGTCGGCAGCATTCACTACCTACTCATTACACACCACCGACATGTCACAAGAGCCCTCTCGAGACCCAAACGATGTCCTCGCCGAAGCGGAGAAGCAGTGGCTCTTCTCCGAAGACGAACTGCTGAGGGTGCCATCAATTGTGGACGGGATGACCGCGGAGGAGGAGCGCCAATTGCGTAGCAAAGGCATGCACTTTATCACGCAAGTCGGAATCATGCTCAAGATCCCGCAAACGACACTGTCCACGGCTGCTGTCCTCTTCAACCGCTTCCTAATGCGCTATTCGCTCGTACCCAAGGATGGCCACAAACCCCTCCATCATTACGTACGTTCCCCGTGAGCTGCGTATCAACCGCTTATCATCTGCCCAGCAAGTTGCTGCAACAACTATCTTCCTAGCGACAAAGGCTGAGGAGCACTGCCGGAAGCTACGCGACCTGGTGATTGCGTGTTGTCGCGTTGCGCAGAAGAATCCCTCGCTCCAAGTCGACGAACAGACCAAAGACTTTTGGCGCTGGCGAGATACGATCCTGCTCAACGAGGACGTGTTGCTGGAGCTCCTCTGCTTCGACCTGACCATCGACTCGCCCTACAAACTTCTCTACGACATGATAAAGCTTCACAACGTTCATCATCACAAGAAACTGCGCGACGCCGCTTGGGGATTCCTTAACGATGCCGCCACGACGCAGCTCTGCCTTCTACAACCTGCGCGAGTCATTGCGGCAGCCGCGCTGTATGCTGGCGCCAAGTCGACGGGCGAGGTCTTTGCCGATGATGAACTCGGCCGCCCGTGGTGGGCGGCGCACAAGCTCAGCCTTGTGGACATTAAGCGTGCCTGTAATTATATGGCTGACAACTTTGAGGCATCGGCACAACGCCCTGGTACAGATAGCATCTATGTCGGGCTGCGGACTCCGCTGCACAGCGACGACAGCCCCGCCAAAATGACGCTAAGGCGTGTCCAGGAATCCACGAGTCCTGTGTGGGCCGGCGGTGGTAGTGGGAGCGAGGCGGGAGGTGCCACGAAGCGGCCGAGGAGCGATGAAAACGGTATAGGAAACGGCCATAACGACGGTTTGGCATCGAAGCGGAGTAGGACAGATGAGGGTGCTGAGTCTTCACAGAGCGGCAATCACGAGGCGGGGGCGGAGGCAGAGGAGGCGGGGAGCGAGGAGGGTGAAGTCGACGAGTAGCAGGACATTATACGGCGTTTGGGGATGATACCATGGCACGGGGGGTTGCATTTGTGGTGTCCAGTTTGCGATTTCAATAGGAGAGAATGGGTACGGGCGTCTGTTTTAGTAACTTGTCGTCTCTTGAGACTTTTGTTTTACGTCTCTAAACGTATGCCTGGAGTGGTAACCAATGAGATGGATCGGCTGAACAAGCAATAGTCTTTCGGTGTGCAGAAGATGCGCTTTTCACGATATGCTACCCGGCCATGCCCTGAGTGACTGGTGCGGCAAGCCGCTCTATCAACGCCGAAGCCCCCAGCATTCCGGCTACTGTATGGTACCTTAGGAGTGTTTTCAAGCCCGTCGGCGTTCCTGCTTCACTTGTTTTACGTTTGCCAGCTCTTGACATTGAGGGGTAGTGAAGCTATTCATCTTGACTCGGTTCAGATGAAAGGTTGTGCTATGTTGCCAGCCTCATGTTAACAAAACCGTAAAATTCGTCAACATCTTGGGCGGCTGGCGCAATGGTAGCGCGTCGCCCTCCTATGCCGACACAGGAATGTGCGCATGGCAAGGCGAAGGTTCTCGGTTCGAGTCCGGGGTCGCTCGGATAATTCCTTTTTTGTCCACCGATACCCGGCTATCACCGGACCTCGACGGGATGTCCTCGACGGGTAGTTCCCGGTATTTTGTCGCCGCAGCCATCAGCACTTTCGTTCTTCTGTATGAACCTGGAACTAAAAAACGGGCTCCGGCTCCGGGTTCGCGTCCGCCCTGGTGATTCTCGGTGATCCTACGCCCCACCGCCAGTAGGCTCACAACGCTTCCATTGGCAAGTAAATGAGGTCCAGCAGCGATGAAGAATGCCACGCGCCTCATTATCTACGGTACGATTTGTGTAGCGCTTGCTTTGGTATTGCTAGCAATACACGTTGGCTGAATACCGTGAAGCACCCCAAGGAAGCTACTGAGGCACCTGAATTCGACCTTTTTGTACATCGTAGTTCCACAGTTACGGTCTTCTCTACGTCCCTCATCGCTAATCCCTCACCCCTCATTGACTTCATTCGGGACCAGCGATGTATTTGTTGTCAGAGCCGACTGCACAACTTGTTGGGCACATAACGGGGTGTGTCGTCAGTCATACTCGAGCTAGAAATGCACCGCCTAAGCGTCATATATATATATATTTTTGGAGACAGGGGGGAATAACAGTAAGGCAATTGAACGCTCTAGTAGAATGACCAATAACCGTGTGGCCCAGAGGTGAGGCCTGAAACGGAGGTGTATGTGGAGCTGTAACTACTGTCAGTTCTAAGGGTCGGCACTTCGGAGTAAAGTCTCTAGCTCTGTCGCATATTTAAAACTGTTGCCCAGACTAGGCCAATCACATGCACCGCGCAATTATTTCAACTTCCATACAGCCAAAAAAGGACACTGGGCATACCTGAAGAAGCGGAGCCACCGCGAAGGCTATTTAAGAGCGGCGACGTCAGCCCTTAATCTGCAAGGGTACGACCATGGTAAGTGCACTAATTAACGACTGGAATAGGAGGTAGGTCAAAGTCGGCAGCGTCCCCAAAGTGTTTCAGCCGAATTCATTGTAGTGATTTATGAACTGGGACACGAGCAAAAATGAGTTTAGAGAAACTAGTCGATTAGAAGACGAAAGGAGGCAACATTTGTACATAGATACGCCACATTGTTACCTTTGGTCCGGCACGGTGGAGGAATCTTTTCCGAGCGTTGCCTAAGACCCGGTAACTCGAAGGACGGATTTTTGGCTTGTACAGTGGGTATCCTCGCTTGCGTTCACCCTGGCATGGGCGTTACCGGCGGACCAAGCAAAGAGCTAGACTTCTTTACAGAACGCCTCAGTTAAAATTCTTGCTCTCCTGATTGGTCCACCAGTTACGTGGACTCCAGCGAGGACATCCGTAATATGGGACAAGGGGTTTCGACTGAACGGGTAAGGAGGTAAGCAGGACCTTCTCGTTCTCCGATCTCAGAACGCCGCTTCCACAGCGTGACCACCGTCCACGTATTCGCTGAACCGGAACAGGCCGTAAAACGTACCATCGCAAAATGATATCATTGCTATCGACTCATAGCAACATCAATGAAGAGATCTAGCAGGGTTCCATACAAAAGGCACATGCCAGCAATTGGTGCTAATGTGCAAAATAGCGTACGATCTGCCAGGCACATTAGGCCAACCACCGAAGGCAACTGGTTTATAGTCCAGCAACGCTCGAGGCCGTCCTTACAATCAACACCCGCGAGCTGTGTCTGAGCAAGTAAAATCGATGGATTGACGCCTTACGTACACTTTATCGTTGGAGAAGGTAATCTATGCGCTCACCTAAAACTTTGGATACGGGCCTGAGAATCCGTAGCCAAACTTCCCGCCAAAGATAAGACAGGGCCTGTACAACGTTCAAGTCAATTAAGCCGCCTCACCCTAACAAGCCACATACGAGCTTTGCTGCTGAATGACAATGTTTTACGACACCATCAAACTAAATAGAATATTGACCTGCCTGTGCCATGGAAATATTTTACAATCCATGACCCGATAAATCTCTAGGATCGAACATGTAATTCAACACTTTCCTTAGCTTCTCGTACCTGGAAATAACTTGCTATTAAGCTATAAAAAGTCTACGAATGCGGGGTGCAACGGTGCCCATTTAACTCCGCTGCATTTCTCAGAGCTCATGATTTCCAATTACGGGAGTTTGCTGGGCGGGAACCTCAGGCTTTCGCGAGAAAAGTAGGGGGGGTTACATAGCAGAGGGTATATTAATTTCCTTCGATTAGTAAGCGCTTGGCAGTTGGGCAATCGTCGTTCTAACGAGCAAATTTTATGGCCTCCCATCCGGAGTCCCATAATGCATTGCTACTCTGTTCAGCTTGTCCGCTACCTGCGTACTTGTTATTCGTTAAAATGGCATTTAGCAATTAATGCTCGAAGGCCTCTTTGGTCCGCGTTCCGGCTCGCTTGCTATGTGAGAGGGTATGCGAGCAATCCCACTTATCGGGGCTTGGACTCCTATCCCGACTGGAGCGTACCGACGTTTATGGCGTATGTCTCTGATTTTTAAGGCACGATAATCAGTTCCCTTCGTTGGTCGATGAACCCAATGAAAAGCTTTTTTAGGCTAACTTGGAATCACACCCCAAGTTAGTCGAGCCACACCCTAATCTACTAGAACCACACCTATCGAAACGTGGATGAGCGTCACGATGAACAGAGTGAGAGAAACCAGAGAGAGATGATGCTTGGTGTGAGATGTGGGAGCAAGCAACCCATCTAAAGGATGGGAACGGCTGATATGCGTAAGGCAGACAAGCAAATAAACCATCTATGCCTGCTGCCAATCCAAACATGTCTGCTATGAATCAGTGCTGCCTGTCATGCTGCAGTGCTGCCTGCCACAACCCCAGAGTGGTGACTGCCATCGAGCTATGATTCCTGCAGGTCCAACCGGGCTGATCCTAGCCTTTCTGCCTGAGGCAGCCAACCCTGAGCTGAGGCGAGCTGACTGAACTATGATCCACCACACCCCAAGAGCCCCAGACTTGATAACACCCTAAACTTTCTGACTAATAAAATATATAACCTTTTCTGACTCTAACTCTAACCCTAACCACTATCCCTAGGGGGGCGGTTCCAGTAACTTGGGGTGCGGCTCCAGTAACTCGGGGTACGGTTTCAGTGGTAGCCTTTTTTTAACCCAAAAGCTTACATGAAGTTGATGGGGATGAGAATTTATAGTTAACTAGTATTTACTAGCATAGTTCTATGCATTTCTACGTAGGTAACTGTCATGGCTCATGGTCGGTAGGATGCCTGAGGCCACGACTGATCGACAGGGTCGTTTGCACCACCACTGTGGCTGTGGCTGTGTGGCTAGTGCGGGCTAGCGCCTCGCTTAGCCCCACACCCCTACACCGTGGTTGTGTTTGGCTTTGCCATCCTCTTCCTCTCTTTCCTCTGTATCTGATATTTACAATCTGTCACGGTCATTGTAAGTGTGCACAAAGCTCTGGATGCAGATGGATGATTGTAAATATCAGATGCAGAGGAAAGAGAGGAAGAGAATGGCAAAGCCAAGCACAACCACGGTGTAGGGGTGTGGGGCTAAGCGAGGCGCTAGCCCGCACTAGCCACACAGCCACAGCCACAGTGATGGTGCAAGCGACCCTGACGATCAGTCGTGGCCTCAGGCATCCTACCGACCATGAGCTATGACACAATCATCCATCTGCATCCAGTGCTTTGTGCACACTTGCAGTGACCGTGACAGTAACTCAGGCTCCCTGGAAGGATATCTAGTATGGTATGGTTTTATTCTTCTCCTCGTAGCTTCTGGATCTTGCTTGTGAATGATTACTTGACTAGTACGCCCATTTGAGCCCCCTGCATGTGAGGATGCAGCTCGGATTCCATGGTGCCCCATCAAACTATGTTGGGAACTATCAACGAACGGCGTGCTGATAATATTTTTAAACCATTTCAATCCTTCGTCGTGATGCGTAGTCAAGGACACACCCCCACAATAAAGCTCTTCAAAAATACAGAATTCGACTAGCATAAAAGCATTGAGCCATGCGTAATCCAGCCTGGTCTGGCTAAAGGCGTCGAGTAATATACAACTCAAACTGCTGTCATATGGGCATGTCACTGGGGTTTCCTTTAGCGGAGGAAGCAGCATTTGTAAACAATATTGGATGTATCTTCCAATAAAAAGTCATAAAAACCGTTCAGTTGTGAATGTTGCAGATAGCCATATCTTGAATGATTTTTATGCGATTCACGGAAAGATATTTTCCACAGGCACCCGGAAAGTCCGAGACACCTTCCCATATGCCCGCCCGCTCTAATAACCCAGCATCTGCCGAGGCCTTTTAACCATATCGCTCTGCCCCGGCTAATCATTGGGCTTCCTCGCATCCTTATTTTATGAGAACTTTGTAGCCTAACAATAATATCCCTCAGTGATACGCCTAACCAGGTGAAATGGAAACGGCCTTGTCTCATAGGTGTATCTAACAAACCAAGTATCATCTCAGTACGCCTACGTACCATAAGCGTAGCACAGCTTGATTTTTGACTTCCAGTTGATGGACATATGAGGCATGGCTGAAAGTGAAAGCGATTGAGCTTAGCAGAACTTTCAGTCGTAAGGCACTCGCTTGTTGAAGATGCATAAATACCAAAGAACAGCAAATTACTCTGCTCAACGAAATCATTACCCTTTGTACGGTTGCGGTTCAAGCTGCGGTTCGAAAGGCGCAGAGGGCAGGTGTTCACGCTGAGGTTTACGCTAATTGGCAGACCAGTTAGAGATCTGCTTTTTTTCCTTACAAAATGCAGCTGTTAAGGAATCTGGCTCTCCAATTTGTTCGCTCATTAGTGTAAATCCCAGGGTGCAGCCAGCCCCAAGACGCTCTTAAACCCAGACTTCAACGCCAGCCGTACAAGGGATGAGGCGCACCCTAAGATCCGACGGACATACCGTACCAACGCGCCCCTAGCCCCAGGAAATGCGAGAATGTACCGGGGGGCAATGGCAACCAATTATCCCATCAAGGCCATTACAGTT